GCTTTCATGTGATAAGCGCTATCTTTTAATCTCTGCAGTTTTTCATTATTGTATTTAATCAGTTTTCAATCAAGATGGAAAACATTGTAATGGACATTTTCCTCTCTTCAAACCGAGGTCTCCATGATAGCAGCGAAGATAGTAGTTCTGCGGACGATGAAGCCCTATTCTTAGAGATGCTTGGAACCTTTGAACGGCAAAGGCGAGTCAAAATTCAAGGATTTGTCGAAAACATTATCCCTCAGCTAATGGACAACGGATTCCAGGGACACTTTCGCCTAACAAGGGAACATGTGGAGGTAAGCTTTTGAATTACTGAATGGTTTTTGTTTGACAGTAGTTATCTTAGTCAGTTGACGACAATATGTCGCAAAACCTTAGTGCTGCGTTCTCAGTATGATGGGGAAGATATTACTTAATTTCTCATGTATGTATGAATGGAACAAATTTCCTTTGATCGAGGGCCCTTTTTTTTTGAACCACTAATGCAAATGCACTTACACACACACTTGGGGCGAATACACTCAAAAATGTACATTTTGATTTGACCAAAAATTTTAGAGACTCATTACGCTCAGAGAGCAAATTTCATGCAAAATTACCCTTCAGACCCTAATTATGCGTAATTGGTAACTGATTTGATGTAATTAAACTGTAATTTATTGTTTTGGTGTGTTTCAGTTATTCCTACAAGAGCTGGAGATTCCTGTCCCTCCCACCCAACGTCCTGGACGTTCACGTCGATCTCCTCTCAACCGGCTCCTCCTGACTCTGTGGTTTCTGGCAAACAGGGAGTGTTATAGGTCAACAGCTGAACGTTTTAATGTGACAGTCAGTATACTGCTCATTACGACATCAATGAGATGTTAATGATCATTAGTTTGCATACCGCGACCCCCCCCCCCNTCACTCTCTTACAAGGAAACTTTTAAAAACAACGTTTGAATGCTTAGTTTGAGACCAAGGCGGAGACGAAAAAAGCGTGAAAAATTGTTTACTCCCAAATCTCTCAAAAAATGTTGTGAAGTGCGTGGGTAGTAATCAAAGGGAAGTTCGGAATGTGAAGGTTAGATCAGGGAGTGTGAACAGCGATGCGGGGTTAGGATTTGACACTCCTAGGGTTGATTTACCGCAACGCTGCAAAAGTTTTGAAAGATTGGGGGAAGAATTGAAAGGAAATACAAAAGTCAAGAAGCTAAAGTTAAAAATGGGCAATGAGGTAATTAGGCAAGAGAGGGTTCTAGAAAAGGAAGGTAGGGTTGAGAAGGTATTGGGGGAAGTAACCAGCAATAGACCAATGGGGGATCTGGATATGGAAATTGACATGTTAGATAAGACACTGATTGAATGTAAACTTGATGATGATGATATTGTAGATGAGGATTTGTTGCTGATGGGGAGTACAGAGAGAATGGAGCTAATGAATACAGTGGTGGGTAAGTGTGTGACTTGTGATGCTAATATAATTGACGTGACGAGTTGATTCGTATTGAGAATTTATTGATTGAGGCTTCGGTTCTGTAAAACCTGAGCACCATCATTGATAATTATAGTGATGTTTTTGGCGCTGAATTTGGGTTTTTAGCTGTTTTGAAATCGATTTTTTGTATCCGACTTTAAAATCGAATCGATTTTTTGTATCAGATTTTAAAATCGAATCGATTTTTTTTACCGAAAATCAAATTGATTTCCGGAAATCGATTTATTCGAAAAGATCGTCATCCCTACAAGGGATGACCAAGTGCGACTGGCGTCAAAACTGCGCGAAGAAGCGATGCTCCAGCAAACCTCAGAACCGTTGCCTACGACTCGTAGGCAACGTCAGAACCTGTTATGGCAATTCCCGTCGTCAAAACTCACGAACTTGCTGTGACAAATAGGTGAGTTTATTTACCGAATTATCACGCCGTTCCGTTCGTTTCGTTCATGACCCAATGGGCACCGTCGATAATGCCCAAACCCGGAATTTGCCCGTAACATAAATATAAAACATTCAAAATAGAAGTACTTCTTCAATGAAAATCTATCATCTGACAGCGAGCTTAAAATGCTTTTGTTTTCATGGTCGTACCACCATTACCACCAACTTTTTTCTCTTACTGCTGAATATGGATAATTTTCAACATGCCTAATTGTTTATTTTTTCTTATATAAATTTAGTTCTTGTCTACTATTATTTAAAAAATCTGTTATGGTTGTTCAATTTTGTACTTTATACTTGTTCTAAGTTTGTTGGTGCTTCCACTCAAGTGTTTGCTTTAGGGTGCATTTCAAAGCTGTATTTATTGTAAACTGTTGTTTTTTCTGTTCAATAGGTATACAGTAATTTACAAGAAAAAAAAAGAAAGGAAAAAACAAGTACTAACAAGAAGAATACTTGCTATGAATTCACATTCAGCAGCAGCACCGCTATGCAAATCCTGAAAAAAAAGTTTGAATGTGTTCACGAGGGTTACCGCAGGGTCAAAATGTTGTAGTCCGATGCGGAGACACTGACGAATTGATCATCGTGCTAGGAAACTCCCCTAGAATTCCCTCAGAAGCAAATGAATGGCTCGACGTAGGGGTTTTCAGCAACGATTCTCTTCGATTTTCAAAAGTAGACAATTTTTTTTCTTACTCGGTGCAGAAACATGTCATGCATTACCAGATTTTCATGCATTTATACCGGGCATGATACCTCATTAAGTTTCATCAAAAAAGGAAGAATCACCGCTAGAGAGATATCCGTCTACATTAAAGTCTCTTGCAAGATCGATGCAAATGAAATAGAAAAGACACCGATAAAATACCATCAAAACTGATACTGACAAAATAGCATGGGCTATAAATGTGTTTAAATTAAGGAGGTTGAAGAGTGAAGATACCTGGGAGTTATTGACCAAAAATTAGCTTAGAATTCACATGTCAAAGCTATGTCCGCAAAATTGAAATCTGCTATTTATTGCCTACTTAACCTTCGTAAGTACCTCTCAAAGGAAAATTTACGCATGGTTTATTTTGCGTTATTCCAAGCTACGGTTACCTATGGAATCGAGTTATACGGTGCAGCCTCCGACACCATTCTTAAACCGACAGTTACACTAATGCGAAGTGCAATTAAAGTTATACTGAATCTGCCTAGACGCTACCTGTCTGAGGAACTTTCCTGCCTCCTAAATGTTCCAACTTTCAAACAACTGTACTTGAAGGGACTCTTAAAACTACTCCCATCTGAGATGCCCAACTTACAATTAGCAAATATGTCTCTTTTCATAGTGTTGTTTTCTAATGATAAATAAATAATTGTTCCATGTCAAACTCAAACCTGAAGTAAATCAAAACTAGTCGCCAGGCCAAACTGATAGGGTTCTCAAGGTGGAGTTTACTCTGGACTACTATTTGAAAAGACAATGGCTGAAACAACCCCTGAATGTGTTAGAGCAGCTGACTTACGCCACAAGCCAGCAGAGAAACAATGTCCTGTTGGTGTAACCCTTCAGAGCTCAAATGCCTATCTGCAGGCAGTAGTCTCTCTGAGCGGAAAATCCTAGAAGCACTGATCAGGAGTTACAGATGAACGTATGGATAATATCTTGTTTCATAACTTTAGCAAGGTCTTGACTGAAAGCCTTTTGAAAATAATGAAATCTTTCCTAGATGTAAGAGGCGTCACGATTGTAGCCTGATCGTTGAAATTTTGTGTTCGTCAGGTAGACATGGATGACATGGGTTAACAGGCAGGAAGTGATTGGACGGCTATGTCTTATTGCTGCTTAATCGTGCCTTTATCAGGTGGAATGAATGACTTATTGTCGGAAACTTAGGAGGTGCCTTTAGCTTGTCATGAGATCCATCCGACAGGCACGACAAAGCAGCGATAAGACATAGCTGACCAATCACGCTCCGCCTGTGAACCTATGTCATCAATGTCTACTGGACATCCACAAAATTTCAAAAATCAGGCTGCTGGATTCAAAAGAAGAGGATGTCTTGCGGGGGACCACACATTAAATATCCGCCATCAAATTCGCAGATCTCATGCTAATATCTTCACATGAAAGCTGCAGGACAATAAAGAATTTGTAATGGGGAGCAGGCTTCTATCATACCTTGTAGTTGCGTTCACCAACGAGAGTCGAGACTTCAATAGGTTTCAGATTCAGAGGACCACGCTGTCTGCCGCTGAAGGACTAGAAGGCTTGGAATGTTTGTGAACGAAGACGTTTGTAAAGGGATATCCAGGTTACCTTGGGAGTTAAGTGGAGTGGAATATTAAGCACGATTGTTCATGAGAAAGGAGAACTTAAACAAAAACAACGAGCTTTTCAACTGGTTTCACTGCATTACTGCAAAAGATGTAAATTCATGCACCGTAAATTTCATGAGGTCAACAATGATGGCCGCCATGATGCTTAGAGGTGGGAGAGCACTGAGCAGAGCTTCGTTTCCGGTTGCACTCTCTGTTTCCGGTTGTACTCTTCGTTTCCGGTTCACACTCCCTAGCCCGCTTCCGTAATTAACGTCACTCGGATTTTATTACTCCTCTCCTATTGGTTGTTTTTGAGTACGTCATCAAAATGACCGTCAGTTTTACATCGTTTCACACCTGCTTTAATCTGGTGTCATGCTTGTTTACATTTTTCATTTTTGGCAATCGTTGAGCTTTCCCTTTCGTGATCGTGAGCTTTTTAATTTAACTTTATATTCCCTAATTTTGTATGTTGGTGTTGTCATTACCTTTAAAAGACTCCTTAAATATAATACCAAACCTTTGGCAGCACTTGGTAAAGCTCGTCACTAATAAATAATGTGCTCTTGAATTATCATTGATTTAAGTTTCTGTTTGCCGGTAAGTCAGCGCAATGTTTGAGTATGTCTCTGATTAATATCTACCATTGATATTGGATTTTTACCTTATCAAACATTTCAGTTCAGACTTTACCTCCAGTTTCTTTTAGTAATGGAGCATTTAAATGTGCCCTTTCTTGCCAGCTGATGATTTATAAACCACATTACGCCATGTACATATTTATGCTCTAAAGCTCGCCTCTCCTTTTGACAGTGTAACTACATAAATGAGTATCTCGTTTCCGGTGTGCCAAAATCTACGCTCCCTCTATTTTATTTGAGAACAATCCTACATTGCAGTGAGATTTTTTCATAACATAATCTTAAATGGCGGAGGAAAAGTAAGGGAAGTTTTCAAGGTACAATACCAATTCCTACTTAGCATTCCTGGCCATGGGTTTGAGGTTAAATGTTCGTAACTCCCGAAAACACACGGGATCGTATAGCGGAGGACTTAAAAAGTTGATTTTTTTACTTGAGAAAGTGAATGTATTCCGGGCGTGGAATTTTCAGTTAAATATTTCGGCTAGTTTTATCGAAAGAAACAAGTTTGTTCGGCAGAATCACATTTTAAATTGTGGAAAAAAAGTATTAAATGTATGTCACTGTACTAAATGTATGGGAGGTAACCGGGAAACGTATGCAACCCGCCAAACGTAGCCCGGCGGCTTCCCTTTGTTCTTGGGTGATATTACTCACACACTCTCACACGTATTCTCCAATGGCCAGGAATGCTAAGTAGGAATTGACAATACGCAATCGATTTAAATTTGAAAAGTAGTTACTACAGGAAGTCTGCAATTTAGCAAATTAAGACACAAGTCTCTGCAGTTTCATTGCTGATGCATTCTAAGTATTCCCCATTTTACTCGCACTCTCCGAAGGAGAATTACACACTTATTTGAATCAAGTTACTCTACTGTTTTTAACAAAGTAGCTTCAACGTTTTTTGGAAGTAGTGTGCAAGTAGTTGAAAAAGGTGTCACTTCAGAAATCAGTGAATGAGCTTGGTATTTTCAGTTATTTTTGCATACAAGATGGGTACTCTGAAATCTCTTTTTATAGTTAAATGCTACTTATATTCTTGTCCTTGCGTAATCATTTTCATTGCACATTGAATGGGAGCAGGCTGTTTTCATTATTTGTGTAATATAATTACTTAACTTTTGGTATTTGTTTTCAGATGGCATTTAGTGAATAGACCTGGTTGCAAAGGATCCTAATTTAACATCAGTTTCGATCAAAACATTAGGTATCATGGCAGAGAGACAAAAAATGTAAGTTCTCAGTTGAAAGCTTTTGAGTAAGCTATTGAGAGAGTGTCTTTGTAATAATTGTACCAAAAAACTAATCCTAAATAACTCCATAATTAATTTTATGAAAATAAATTGACCATTTTCTTAACTTCCAAACCAAATAACCACATCCAGAGACTCATCTCTTTTCTATATCCCTCAGTAACATTGATTTGTCCAATCCTTTATTGCCCTCCATTAATCATGAGGAATCATGGCAGCGTAGTCACTTGCAAAGGGAAAAAAGCATCTTATCTGACGCAAGCTCCTGCATAACAATTTTATTCGTAATCAGATTGGCCTTAATTTATCTGGAAATATAAGCTAGTAACAATAAAGCTATTTTATTACGACTACTTACCCCTGAATACTTTGTGATACATATCAGCGTTGCATTTATACTGACTTTTCCATTATTTGGCGCACCAATGTTATGTTTTCTTGTCTTATTATTCCAAATTGCAGACTTGTTGCTGGGAATGTCAATGGCAACTTCAAAACCCTTTTCAATAGAATAAACTCAATTGTTAAGAAAAATGGCCCTTTTGATTTCATGCTGTGTGTTGGTGACTTTTTCTCTGCATCGGATGATAGTTGGGAACCTTACCGAACTGGTCATTTGAAAGGTAAAAATTTCACTTTCTATAATGAATTTTCTCCTTTACTTATCAACTAGTGTACCAATGGACCTAATAAACCCTCTTAATTTCATAACAGAGGAATAGTTTGAAAGTTTTAAGCTGTCCGATGACGAGGAATCGGTGATGATGTAACGGACACTTTCACTTGACTTCGCCATTTTTCCGATTATTACCTCTTTTAATAGAAGAAGCATGGTGCTCTCTCTGGATGAAAACTATGACTCACATTTTTCATCATAAAACGAAAAGAGAAGTTCATTTATTTTTGCTTAATATTCCGTAGCGTTCTACCTAAAACTTAAGATAGGACTGTCCATAAATTTGCTCGCTGATGGTGATGTCAGGACTGAATTTAATGGAGAGACTGAAGGGGCTTCAAATCACAGAAATGAGGCTTTAGATGTCAAACATGAATCTCCTTTCCTTTTTATTTCTTTTTTGGCTTGTGTAATGAGCAAATCACAAAATTAGAAAGCAAGAAAAGGAGAGTCAACATATTTGAAACTACTGCGGCAAAATCATGAATCCAACCAGTGCATTGTAGCAGATGTTCCTCTCATAGGATTTTCAAGCTTCAAAAAATAGTCTACAAGTGACTGTTTACTGAAGGGAAAGAGACCTTAGTCCACAAAAACTCCAAATTGATTTGATAATATCAGAGTCTAGGAGAGTGTTGCATGTAAAGTTTTGCTCAAAACCACTCAAAAATGTTAGACCACTCAGCAGTTAGGGGGCTAGAGGACTCCAATACCATAAACAGTTCTGAGAAAAAGCTGTCTGAAACTCATGTCTCTTTCGTCCATTTTATCAAAGTGCCTGATTATACTTATTGAAATTGAACTTCCTCTATTAGCTTAAACTTGAAGTGAAATGTATTCTTTAAGACACTGGAGAAGCATTTCCGTCAAAATCTCAAACTGATTTTTCTGTCCAACTGGCTAAAAATTACTCCATTCAAAAATTTGCATTTTTGAACTTAGGTCCCTTCTATCGCAGAAGGTCTCTAATTTTGGTTGGCCTCATCTTTGCGATTCTTACTTTTATCATCATTTTACCAAAAAATCATTCAGCCATTGAAGTTAGTTGAACAATCAATAAAGCAGTTATTTGAGACCTTAAGCTTACACAGTTTTACATTTTGCAGCAGCACTTGAACCTCCTCTTTTGAGGAAGGGATTCCTCTCACCATCTTTTTTTTTTTCTTCCACACCAAAATGAACATCAGGGGTAAAATTAAATTACTTACTTAGATTTTATGCATCTCTGTTCGAGGGTTTCATAGTTTACATTTATGAGAAAAAACTTATCGGTGTTTCTGGATTATGTTCATAGAATATTTTCTGACAAAAGAAGCATTGTGCGTAATTTTAAGAATCTGTAAATGGCTGTATCTTGTTTGCTAGAAGAAAATGGCAAAATAAGTTTGTATTGATGCAAATTGAGATACACATTACACAGCTTCCAAGTTTCACTGGGTATTGACTTCTTGTTTGTTTGTAACTCAAACTAATCAAAGTTTCTGTTATTTAAAGACTCTGATTTCTCATTGTCGTTTGTTTATTCTGTGTCCATTAAATCATCATTTTTTCTGTTTGTCTGCAGTGCCTCTACCAATCTACATTCTGGGACCCACCAATGCTAACCTTGTCAAGTATTATTCTGACCTAAATGGATGTGAACTGTGCCCCAATGTGAGCTATCTAGGTAATAATTTTACATGGATTCTAATTTGATCAATGAAGAATAAAGACAGCCAGAGATAGGAACCGTTAATAAATCAAGTTAAAAAATATCACACTTCAAGTGATTCATGATTTGATGACAATGCAGACTAACCATTAACTGATGGCTGTATTCCTCCCTCACCCTGTCGTCTTTAAGGGACAATACAAGGTATCAAAGTGGCATGATCACCAATGGCCGTGATGGCGGATACTTGTATGTCCCTAAAAAGCTATAACCTTCATCATTGAGGATTGAACCCATGAACTCAGCGCTGGCAAAAAAAATTGCCTTAATCACACCACTAAAGACAACCTCTTCTAATTAACTCTCAGGCTAAAGTAGTGCTATTTTCCTTTTCAAAAAGTTCAAAATTGTTTTTAGCCACTGCCTACAGTATTATTTCGAATTTTATGAGTGCGACATCCAGTACTGATAAACATTTAAGTGACAAGGATTTTTTACCTTTTAAAACTTTTTTGTCTCCTGTTTAACCGTGGTCCCTTTAAACAAATACTATTCATCTAGTTTATTTTTTTGTGCAACCCTCTGTCTAACACACACTCCCCACTTTTCTGCAATGAATTATAACACAGAATGAAGCCTCCCTAATTTTCCTCCAAGTGCATTGCAAAACAATTAAATAGCACTGGTTTTTCCTGTTCTCTTTCAGTCTTTCATTGTGCGTACCATCTGTCTTTCAGGCAAACAAGGAATTTTTCGGAACAGCGCAGGTTTAAGAATAGCCTACCTAAGTGGAGCTGAAAGTGTAGATAAATCAGACGTCACTTTCACAGCTAAAGATGTCACTACCCTCAGAGACAACTGCATAAAGGGTCAACCATCTTACCTTGGGACTGATATCTTGATAACATCATGTTGGCCTGAGGATATCACTAACTTAGATCCCTCTCCGGTTTGTTAATGTTGCTTATCTTTACCTTTCATAGAATTATCAGGTGCAACCATTTCACATTGATTAGGTATTTTTCGTTGACCTAGCTTCACTGGACACCAGACGTAAAATGCACCTAAAAATTAGGCTCCAAATCTTGGAAATAAGCGGGTTTGGCCAAATGTAGTGCCCAAAAATTTGGCATTGCTCTATCGTTGATTGCATCCATTTGTCTTGCAAATGTTTATGCTGAATTACCACAAATTTAATGTCTTCTAAAAATCATGTTTCTCTTGACTTTACAATTTTAAGTGTGAAATTCAAAAACAAGTAGTATTGGCATTAAGTTTGACCTTTCTTTGTGTCATTACCAATCGATCTTGAAACCTGTTATCAGTAAACCTGTTTAATATATTGTCACCCTCTGGCCAAAGTATCACAAGCGCCATGCGACGTTCAAAAATTTCTGCTGCCTTTTTATTTTTTTGCAGAGAAATTTTTGGTTGAATCTGTTCGAAAATCTCACTGAATTTTATCGGCAGCACAAAAAGATTCAGTGAAATTTTGGGACAGCTTCGTTGAACTATCGCTCGGTAAAGAAATTAAATGGTGGTGGACATTTTTAAATGTCGCATGGTCATGGTACTTGTGATACGGAAAGTGATGATATCTTACTAAATTAGGCAAATGCTGCAGATCAAGCTGAATAATTCAAAAAATCATAGAATACACAAGAAAATAATGTATGAGTGAAGTTATCTCGGAGGATATATCAGAGCAGTCTTACTGGCGAAGCTGCCAGCTTGTTTATTATGCTTGCTTTTTCCAATGGCAACATTTGATCTTCTTAGCTGTAGATCACCTCTATTTGTTGGATAATCTTAGCCTTGCACCTAGTCAAGCTTGATTTTTGGGTGTTTTCCTCCTTAACAAACCTGATTATTTGCTTCTTAGGTTGAAGATCCGCCAAAAGGCTCATTTTGTGTTTCATGGTTAGATGTCCAGATCAAACCTCGCTACCATTTCAGTCCATCTCCTCATAAATATTATGAGAGACCACCTTACAAGTAAGCCTTTTCTATTGCTCTTCTTTGTACGAAACAACCAATGAAGAAAGAACAAAAAATTGTTCAGAAAGGAGCATTTATGAAGAATTACAGGCACTCAAACGTATGGTTTTAGTGGCTTCTCACCTAAGATATTAAGCTTGGTGAAAGATTAACGTAGGAATATTTATTTTTTATTTTTTTACCATTTAGAGTTTAAATTCAATGATTAATATAAAATCTCAGAAAATTTAATCTAATTTGTGAAATTTTGTGTCATTCCAGAAAATTGTTTGAATTGGTAGCAGAATTTTATGTATTTTAAGCAGAAAATAGCTTGAAAAAACTGGAATGGAAGAGAAAATCTTGATCAAACTTCCCTGATGGAATAAGAGGGTTTGAAAAGCAAACAAGGGATATCAGTTCAAATGATGTTAAAATAACATCTTACTGATTCAAAGAGTGCAAGTGCATCTCATTGAAATATTTCATTCTGGACTTTCATGCAGTATCTAACCATTAATTGTATACTAGATTACTCGTGCACTGAGTCTTTGATATTATTAGCTTGACTTAATTGAAATGTCAGATCTCAAAATCTTACGAATCCCATCAAAGTTGGCGGAAATGTTTCTTTTTTTTAAAATTTATTTGCCTATCCTGGTGTTTTACCATTTGAATGACATTATTTTGCTCGCACATTTTTATCATCCCAATGACGCATAGTAAAAAAGTTCTTATTATTTTGCCATCAATGCCTGTTTTTGATTATTGTAAAAGAATAAAAGTTTGTTAAAAGAACAATTTTCAAAGTCACTTTAATGTAAATGTTTTCAAATAAAAGATTATAGAGCTCTACCATTCCCAAAAAACTTTCATAAAACTCTTTGCTGTCACACATAAAGTATTCATAGAATTAAAAATCACTTTTTTCCTTTTCTTTACCAGGAATGTTGGATCCCCCCATGAACAACACTGCACAAGGTTCATAGCGCTGGCTGATGTGGGGAACACTGGCAAAGATAAATGGATCTACGCTCTGAGCATTGAGCCAATTGACATGATGCTGAAGAAAGACTTGCTTACAGCAACAACCGATTCAACAAACTGCCCATTTAAGGAGCAATGCTTTTCCCAAAACTTGTCAGCTGACAGACCAGAGCAATTTTTCTACAATATGAATTCCTCACAAGATGATGGCTACCAGCGCAAAAAGCGGAAATATGATGATAGTTTTGACAAGAAACGACCAAAAATTAATTTTGATCAATGTAAGTTTTTTTTCCACCTTTGCCAAGTAATCAGGTGAAACTTCCCAACTATAGAACCTTCTATGCTAGTATTTACAGTAAGGCTTCAATTTATTAGATTTCACAGGACTGACAAAATTGATCCGTTAAATCACAGAATCCGTTAATTCAAATAGCTTGAAGCCCTTGAAGGGACCAAAAGATCAATCCTATAAATTGCAGAATCTTAAAATCAAGATCCTATAAATAGAGGTCTTTCTGCAGCTACCTCTGTGTCCAGTCAAACTCCCCATACACAGATAGGGAGCAAATACATTGGCAGGGTTCCTGTGGCTTTGGGTCTCCACATAAAGTGGTAACCCTCCTAATGTATTTGCCTTCTGTCTGCCCATGAAGGGTTTATCTAATCCTAGGTATAAAGGTTGCCTTTTGTCATAATGGCAATCTCTTTCATTACGATCTCAACTTGGAGAGCATTTTTTGAGCTCAGGAGTTTGTTTCAGAAAAAACAAGTGGTACCATCAAGTTTCTGGCAAAATTATATGCCAAGAAAAGTACTTGCAAATCTCTGGGCCATCTTTTTTCTCGCTTGTCCATATAGTTTATTACGTTTCTACAAGATTTGAGCCTAAATCTGTAGCATTTGTGCATTGCAAATCTTTTTATCATCTGGTTTTTTGTCCTGCAGCAAAATGTTGGTTTTGTCTGTCTAGTCCAGATGTAGAAAAACATTTGATCATCAGCATCGGTGAAGAGGTAAGAAAGTTTTCATCATTTTAAGTCCATACATTTTACTTTAAAATTCATACCAACCTTAAATTAATATTCTGTTACATATGTTTAGGGTTGAATGGATTTTAAACTTTACTCTTTTTACCCAAATTTAGTTTAATTTGATTTTTTTCCCCTCAAAATGTTTGTAGAACACTTATCTATGCTTAGGAAACAGTAACTCAATTTTGAGCACATATTTGAAGATGACAGTCCCCACTCCCCAAGTAACCCTGAAGAGGGCCTCATCCATAATTTATCAGTATTTCAAAAACAGAAAGTGTCTGATAAAATTGAAATCTATGATTGATAAATGAAATAATCAATTTTAAGGATCAATAAAAATAAATCTCCGGGAAGAAATGTCTCATTTTTTGTGCTAAGCCAGGTTTTTTTAGAGTTTTGTCTGTTTTCCCCCTAATTTTTTTCATCACAAAATTTACCTCAGTTATTATGTTTAAGTTGACAAACAGAAACGTTTCTGATGTGAATGCTATCTTATTGTAGAAAATTAATTATTATTCACTGTCAGATTATTTGCAGTTGAAATTATTTTTAGCCATTCATAAGTCACACGAAACAGATTCAGGTTAGAAATTACATCAGAAACGCCCGCCAAAATAATGGCAGACCAAAGACTTATTATCCAGTTGCTCAACCTAGTTACTTAATATAGCTTCCTTTGTCATAGATTTTCTCTAAAAACACAACCTGAAATATGTTGTCAGTTCGTAATTTTATCCAAAGTCATTTATTGTCTCTATTTTTCATCTCTTTTTTTTTATTTTTCTTCTATTTCAGGTGTATTTAGCTTTAGCCAAAGGTGGTTTGACACCAGATCATGCTCTCCTGCTTCCCGTTGCTCATCATCAGTCAACAAGTGACATGCCTGCGTCCATTCAAAAAGAGCTCAATCAGTATCCTTTGATACCTCGTATTGTTTTAGTCTTAAGCATGGGTTCACCAGTAATATGAAGTCATGGAGTCATGATATAAAGTACAGTATATCTAATAAGTGTCTTGTGAAAAAAAAAATCCTTGTTTTTGAAGTATTTCAGAGAATTTTATGGGAGGATAAAATTTTCTGTACTTCATGTTACAATTACAATCAACGTGTTACATCACTCTACTTATATTTTGATAATTTATGAAGACTTACAAACCTTTGTTTTTGACAAATTATTTTTCTCCAGAATTATTTTTCTACCTCTCTTTAGTTTGAACCTTAACACCTGTTCATATTTAAACAAGCTTTGACCAAAATGTATGAAGGCCAAAACAAAGTTCCTGTATTTTTTGAGCGGAATTACAAAACTTCTCACCTCCAAGTTCAAGTGATTCCAGTCCCCTCAAAATTTGAAGACAGGTTGGAGAATATTATTCAGGTATGATCAGTAAAATATATTATTTGCATTTATTAGACAAAATCAGATCTCTTTTCAAAAGATGATGGTTGCTAAACATTTTTAATGACAAAGTGTATGCCACTTAGGAATGTTTTGCAAACGCTCTTTAGTTCTGAACATATTTACTAGATTTAAAGAACTCCGTGAGGGGAGATAAATTGATCACAATCAGTGAACTCAAAACTGAAATGGGAAGATCCAGGCATCAAACTTTAAAAAAGTAAACTCCAAGTTCACCCACTTTAATACAACACTAAAAACTAACTAAAAACGACAATACGATCACAACATTAATGCCATTGAAGTGAGTGAACTCAAAGTTTTTTTTAAAAAAATTTATGCTTGAGTACCTAGCGCGCCGTAAAAGCGGCTTATACATACATACATATGCCTGAGTCTTCCCATTTTAGAGAACTTTAATTCTATTCAACATTTGGCTCTCTATTCTCAATTAGAAATCTCATGTCCGTACATCAAATAGGTGAAGTACGTAGGTCACGATCTGATTATCTGAAAATGTGATTAAAACTAAAAAGGTAAATTTGTTCTGTATTCCAGGATAACGCTGAATCTCTTGGATTCACTTTAGACGAGTTACCTCCTCATGCTGAAATGAGACAAGTGGCACCTCCAGGTACCCCTTACTTTCTCCTAGAATTGCCATCCGAAGCTCGATTGTACCACCGCATCAAGAAAAATTTTCCAATCCAGTTTGGGAGGTAAACAGTGTTGACTTTGTGTTCATTTCCTCCTTGTAATCGTTAGCTATCTTTCGTATCAATCTTGAAAAATTGTTTGTTTTGGACTTCCATCAATCTAAACAATGCAATGATCAAGCTGAATGCGGACTGAAGTTCTGCCACAGCCATCAGCTATATTATTTTTCAATACATATTAGCCTTGAGAATTGTTATTTTCTTTTCTGGGATTTGTTTATTTGTCATTCCTGATTGATTCCTTGCATTTTGATTATTCCCTCAATCTTTTTTTCTCTTAATAGTTTTCCTTGATTGGAAGATAATAATGTATATAACCTCTTGCACTTTCATAATATTAATTTTTATCTGTTAACTACCATGATTTTTCTTTGTGTGTGTGCGTTTTCACTAATGCCCCAGGTCTATCGGCCGTTACGATTCTTGTAACAATCAGGATGAAAAATCTGGAAATAATTGGTATCTAATCATTCACTTAAAGCCATGCAATTCCTATTAATGTAGATTCTAAATGCTGTGCATTATTCTCTCTCAAATTCAGAGGTTGTTTAAGTTTTTCCTAACCTACAACTGTAAAAGAAATTTAATCAACTTATCAGGTGATGTGTATTTATGTTTCAGGGAAGCTATAGCTTCTGAGATCTTTGATGCTCCTGAAAAAGCTGACTGGAAACAGTGCGTTGTATCAAAAGAAGAAGAGATCGAATACGTGAAGAAATTCAGACAACTATTTGAACCTTTTGACTTTACTCTAACGCAATGAAAATTTGCAACAAAGTCAGCATTAGGTTTCTTAAACTCACAGGCCTTTGCACCACCACTTTGAGTGTCCTCACAACTGCTTTTTAAAAAATAATTGGTTTTAAACTGAATCAGCCTTTACGATATTTTCAGCAAAGAAAATATGACATGAGATGAAATTAAGCATTGTAAAATGTAGGTAAGCCATATGATTGGTCAGATATATTTCAAAACGAATATCGACGGTGTAAGTCGGCAATCACATAATTTGTTTGCGGTGTCTGAAAATCTCCGCCTCTATTATGTTTTTTTAAAGGAGAACAAATCGACATCATTCCTTGTAGTTTCTGTAGAATTTTCTTGGCACAGAGAAGAAAAATCACGGCAGTTTTAAAGAGTAGTTTTTCATTTAAAATATAAAGTATGACAGGAAGTCTACTACGTTACTAACCGAGTTATGTGATTGCCGACTCACACCGTTGATATATTTCAAAAGTACCTTATAATTAATTAATTTATATTTTAAGAATGAATCAAGTTTTAAATTTGTATTTTCAGTAAACTTCACTTTGAACGTAAATTTACTAATGTGAAAAGAATTACACCTGCGATTCCCGTATCTTTATTTCTCTAGAAGTTTGACCAAGCAGTAAGGCTTAGTAATTATTGTTTACAAACACAAGAGCCACATTTAATGTTTTTTTTTTTTTTTTTTTGTTTGTTTGTTTTTTTTTTAATCGAGATCCCAGTCTAATTTAATCCAATTCATGCATGTTAGACATTTAAAATTTTACATATCCTTCGGGATGTAGCCGTTTTTAACTTTTTCGACAGAGAACTTTTTATGCTTGTAAGCAATACAGAATCAACATATATTTGGAAATTACAGAAGTCAAATTCTTTGCATTCATTAGAAATTTCTCAGTTGGCATGTTAAGATGATTCAGGGATAAAGATGCAAGCATCCTACCGTCAGATAATTTCGTTTGTGAGCCGTTTAGTGCGTTATTAAACGTTATAAATAGAGCCGTCCAAAATATAAGGAGATCGAAAGTTTAATTATGTGTTTGTTATTTCAACACTTTTTGCCCCCTCTTTTCATTACCCTCATCCAGTTTGTAATACTCAAAGTACCTGAAATGAAATGTGATAGAGTCCGGCGTAATGGACTCCAGGTGAATGCTCATAATTTCTAGCACAAAACTCAAACAACCCAAGTGAAAATTATTGATGCTGATAGCTTTTTATTATTCCCTTGAGCTCTGGGTCAAACTTCATGTTATGACTTGTGTTAAGTGCTCTCTCATTTATAAGCACACTAGGCGTGGTAGAGTTTTCACACCCTAAACATAGCAGTAACAGTATATTGAAACATAAGGTGGCACATTGTGACCACAAGCTTGACAGCTCTCTGATTTCAATATGTGATAGAATCAGGCTAAATGAAACTTCAGAATACAGATGAAGAATAAGATGAGTAGAGCATAGCTTGGAGGGATCAATTCTACATAATTTGATGCAAAAAACATTCAAGAATTATAAAAACAGACTCCTCAAGAGCATTTCAAGGTTCAAGAACAAGAACTTGTGCACAGGCAAAGGAAACGGTTAAAATTTAAAAACTATTTCATTGAGTAAAGAGTGCTGTAGCATCAATACAAAAGAACTTCTGATGATAGTACATCAAACGTTCACCACATTCGAATCCAATAAAATCCTAAAAACTAAACAAAAATCAATCATATTCCATGCGACTGCCTTTCTCATCTAAGCAAACAGCTGTTGCGGCTCAGGGCTACCAAAATAGAGCCGTTGAAGGCCTTAGACATGGTTCATTTCAAACAATCAATGCTCATTTCTTTTTAATACTTAAAAATTCATGATTGCTCACTGGAAAGTAGAATACTGCCGAAAATGTAAAGTGTAGGTATTGAAAATGTAACAGAGAAAAAAGTGAATGAACTCCTCAGTTAGAGAATTTCTGTCTAAGAAATAAATAAGAGCTGTAAGTGGAGTTTTTGAGACCAAGAGGGATGAATCACAAGAACTTTTGTTCCGCACCTCTGCTTTACAACTAAGCCCTGCATATACAAGAATACGTATATGGTTAGCAATCAAGAAGTTAGTGTCATGCACTAATCCTAAGGTCGCATTCATAAAAGGCACTATTGAAAGACACCTAAATAATGACTTACAGATGCGGTTCTTCAACAGGAACCTTAAAGAATGAATGAAAATATCGAGTGATTAATTGCAATTTAACGAAATATTAGTGCACTAAAATTATTTAAATGCAAATAGTTTTCCTAATTCTTACATAAAATTTGGAATCGTTTGAATAATGTTCAATGAAGCTTTTAAGTAATTCCTGCCCAATCTTGAAATTCCCGCCTCTCATTCTGTATCCGGTTCGGGGCTTTCCATTCCGTTTCGTGAAATAACTAAACTGGCAACGAACTAAGGTCTTTGATTGGGCAGCGACTACATCATCATAAATAAAACAACAACAACAGTATTTACTGACCATGTGTCTTTTCGCTGTTTATTTTCTTGACTGAACAGTCTGAACATGAACAAATTGAAGAAATCGAAGATCTTTGTGCTCATTATTTTTAGTTATCATTATTTTTAATTATTATCCTCTCATCATCAGCCATTTCTGCTGTGAGTTTTTTTTATTTTAAAATTTGTTGCCTGTGAAAACCAGTTGACTCCTCCGAGTTTCCTCATTCCTTCCTCCCGAGATCTCAGGTATTTATTATGTCCATTTTGCAGCAGAAAGTTTCATGTTCTTAAAGTACCCATGAAACGGAATATAAAATGTATTTGCATTGATAGCATCCCTCTTTCAGTCACAATCTTTATCTGTCGGCAGGTTAGTAAACACAACAGTGACCCAGCGGGCCTATTATTGAAAGTTTGAAGCAGCCCGATAAGACATCGAATTGCGATATATTGCATGGTTACGATAAGTAGGGCTATGTCTTGTCGTGTCGAGCTGACATAGTTTCAATTATCGGGCCTCAGGCGAAATTCAAGTAGTCTGTCTTGACATCCCAAGACAGAGGGGTTACAAAGTTCTTTGAGAATTGAAACTTGTGATATTTTCTCATGATGATATCAAGAAAAGGGATGGTCACACTTAAGGATCCGTCAATGTATACGAATGCGGCAACCTTCTCTCCTTCTAGCATTGGGCTGAAGAGACCATAAGGGGTATGTATCGAAACCCAATCAAGGACCACACTATAAAACCAAATTCATTCCAAAAATTTCAAGCATAATAGAGTCCTTGCCGAATGAATTTACGCATTTCTAGACTGTAACAGAAGATTGTCTGACATTACTTTTACATGTTAAGTAATTGCAAGGAGCAAGTTGGCGGATCTTCTGTCGCAGTCTAAAAGTACGTACCTAACTTATTTGGCGCGGGACTATCATGTCGTGTAAGTACATGGGTAGGAAGGCGGATTTGTAAATGACCTGAGGCCGACTTTGGTAGTCAAAATCTGCTATTGAGTCTGTGCATAATCTGTACGCTTTTCTATTTTAATTTAGGTGGTATCTTAGAAGTACTTCAGATTATGATATTTATTATGAATTTATCTCGATTAATCTGTTTCAGGTGGCCCACTTCCATTTGAGCTTACATAAGGTTTCACAGACCACATAACCATGAAGACCAAGAAACTGAAGCAAATTGGCAACTACAAGTACAAAAAACATGAGAAGAAAAAATTTGGGGCCCACAGTAAGAAAAAAGCGAACTACAGAGCTGAGAAGCTAGAAATGAAGCAACTGAAGAAGAAATTAGATAAAAAGGACCAAAAAAAGAAGGGGAAAGAATCCGCTGACAAACCCAAAGTGGAGTTGCCGGAATTGAGTGGTAAAAAATTAAAAAACTACAAAATTGCGCAGAAGAAGAAAGCCAAGAAAGAAAAGGAAAAAATGAAGAAAATTGAGAAACGTGAAGATGCAGTTTTAAATGCCAAAGACCATGTAGAGTTTGGTGAAGTTGTCCATGGACCTCCAGAGTTGACAAGCAGACCCCGAGGAATGGAAGCGCCTGTGGTTAGTTCTGTTACCTTTTCCAAAACCACCATTTATTTCGATGTTTTATATTTATGTATGCATCTATTTCAAAGTAAGCCAGTGGGTGTGGCCAGAACTTTTCCATGGAGTACAGGTCTGGATGAAAAAATTCCTGAAAACTTGAAAAATTATGTTTTTAGGGTAAATTTTTCTGTAATTTTTTCTGTTAAGGAGGTCCAACTCCCTCAACTCTCTCACTGGCTACCCCACTGATGCAAGTTACCAGCCCTTATAAATGCCTACTTGCCCACTAGTATTTAAAACCACATCTTCAAGGCTGGATTTTGTCTATTTAGACTAGGATTTTGCTAAAAATAGGCTTCTTTTGCCGTAATTTGTCCAACTATGGTTTTTTGTCAAATTTCTAGCATTCCAACTTTTGAATTTCATGTTTTAGACGTTTTATTCAATTAAGTTGGTTCATTTTTCAGAATTTCACCATTAATAGTACAGCAGTTCATGGGCATATTTTTGTGCCCCTTGAATTGAACTGTAGGTGGAACACAATCTCTTACAGCAATTGTTTTTAAAACGGATGTAAGCCCTCCTATGGTTGGTGCATTTTTAAAAAAGAAACCAAGAAAAAATTGTCATTTTCTCTCTTTCACACAGATCTTTTTGAATTTGAAGTTAAAAGGGGCCAGTTTTTCTACTCTACCATCAATAATGCGACAATTTGGCTTTGAGGCAGTCTCTAACATCTTCTTGGTAAAAAGAAATAAACCTCTCTTGTCGCTTTTTGGATCCCACGTATTTTGTGGTATTTATTTACCCTTTAATTTTTCTTTTTTTTATTTTCCTTCCCTTTATTTTAAACCTTTGTGATTCTTTGAGCAAAGAGAGATTTGATATGACCTAAAGATTCATCTAATTACGGTACTGTAATTGTGAAATAAGTAGATACTGATCTTTTTTCGTGTAATCACCTTGTAATATAATAATTCTAATGTCTAATTGACGTATTTACATCCTTCATTCAGAATGATCAAAGGAATGGTTTGCTTCTGCTAGAAAAATTTCAAACTTCAATGGACAAACGGAAATGTACCAATGCATCTTCCTCTTCAGTGTTTGGTAAACGTCAAAAACTGAGCAAAGAAAGACTGAAAGAATTAGAAGATGAAAGGAATAGGGTCATCAATTCGTATCGAAGTATGAAATCCAAAAGAAAACCAGGTAAGAAATTAAGCTGATATTTTATTTCCTATGAGTATTATTTGTAGTGTCTGGAAAATTCATTGCGGCTGTTTCCCTACTGAATAATTCAGTTTGGGTGTGAACCAATTAGAGGCTAAGTTTGTGAAAAGAGAGATGGGAAAAATTATGCTTATGCAAGGAAGCCATGTATATTCCCTAAAGAAGGCAATTGGACCAACATTCATTCAAAAGTGGGTCAAGTAGTAGTGGAATGATTTTAAGTGCCGTGCTATTGCCTACACTAGAGAAAATCAGATAGTAAAGTTCCCTGGACACTGCACCTATGTTCTTCAGTGTAACACAAGGAGATTATGTGGATGTATTCATTCTGGAAGGAACTATGTGCATAGAGTTTGCGACCAACATAGTTCCTTTTAGCATAAATACATCCATTTGATAACAAAGATCTGTCAATTTCTTGTGGGACCTATGCCCATTACGTAACAGCGGAAATACAATTGTTCTGTAAAATTTGATAACTGATCAATCCAACCATCCTATTTTGTATTAAAATTGACACGGCTTGTTTGCATCTGATGTTAAAAACTCCCTTTGAAGAACCTCATATTCCAATTTTTGTCCGCGTTTCATTTGAGGTAGAAGCAATTTCCAATATCCTGTTCATCTGCAATCAGCATCGCCATATTGCGCAGGAAACCAACAGAACCATTTTTAAATTATTATACTGCAAATTAGTATCTGTAAGCATCAATCCATCAAAATTCATGGGCTTTTTTCTTTTCATGAAATGCATCCAGTGAGAGAACTCCATTAATAAATTTTACCTTGTGATTCCAGAAACAAACATTAGAGATGGCCCCTCAGAAAAAAAATACAAGTTGCATAGTGACTTTGGACCCGCTGATGATGTCTAGGTTTGTTTATTGTACTATAATTTTAATTCATGTTATTTTTTCTGAAGAGCGAGTTATATTTTGTGCACATGCTTGGGTGATGTGCGTGTGAAGTATGTGATAATATATATCTAATAGCTGCTCTCCTACTCTTTGGGGCTGAGTGACTGTCCCTAATTACATTTAGTATTTTTTCTGGTTCTTTTATCTCTGTTTTGCCTTTTCAGGCATCGCAAGGCTTCCCTTCAAAATTATATCCATTTTAAACTATGCAGGAATTTTAGTTGAAGTTTATTTTTTCATAAGAAATCTAATAAGTCACAAGGAATGTATTTTGTTGTTTTACCTCTGTAAATTTAGAGTCAAATGTAAGATAGAATCACATATTTTGGAAAAACTTTAAGATTATAGCAACTTGAACCTTGCAGTTATCTGTAAGGAGCTAGGGAGGTATAGTTTACTGGTGTAAACATGGTGTTTGTTTCATCGTGATTTATAACTCCTCAAGATTCGAGTGCAGTCTATTGATCAGCAAGCAAATTTTTCGTTCACAAGTGGCTCTGAACTGTTCTCTAAATCATTGAAATAGGAGTTTTCTAGTAATTTGTCTCTCATGTGAGTAACAATCCACTATTTTTTCATCTTGAAATTTTTGGAATTGAAGCAATTTTTGGCATAAAGATGTCACTGAATATTTTGAAAAAAGCAAAACTGATTACATTCTGTCATTTTGTATAAGAACTCCTAATTTTCCACACTTGAAATCGTTAACTACATTTTAATTTTCGTCATGAAAACCAGATTCTCTGTAAGCCATCTTCTTCTGAAACAAATTATCAAACATAAATTTTTAGTTGGTAATGACTTTTTCCATTCTACATCTTTGTGTTAATAAGTTCATTACTCGTGGGTATCCTTTTTTCCAAATTTTGGTCGTTGTTTTTACCTGTCTGTTCACCCTCTTACCACCCATCATTTTGTTTTAATTGAAAGTCAGGAATGTTAACTCTCTTCAGGTTTGCTAGGTTCCTTCAAAACTGGCTGTACCCTTTTTGTGGGTATATATCGAGGTACAAAGATTTATTGGAAAAGATGTGTGTGACCTTTGAAAAGTGGTAGTTTCTGAAGTAAAATGAAGTATTTTGAGATACTACAATTTTTCTGAATTTTACAGAACCTATTAATTCATATCCACAAGTTCCCTCCCCTCGGTCACTTAGGAGTCGCTCTAGATGTACAATTTGCAAAATATTGAGGAAATGTTTGAGAAAGTTAGTCCTATTTTTTTAAAATATTTCTCGCTAAAGTTTAAGGAAAGTGTAATGTTGGAATAAGTATGGGTATATTTTTAGTTTCAACTGTTAGTAAGTTTTACCTTTGGTTGATCCTAAAACTTTAATTCTTAATTTGTAATATTATTCTGGAGATGCAGTTGGCAGATGGTTTTTCTTCAAGAGTAATGAAGGAGAGAGAAATATAAGTATGAAGGGTCTTGTTTATTTCATTCATTTTTATCTGAAAATTATTTACTTAGGTCTGAAAATATATCTTCTCACTGTTTCAAATGGAAAAAGGTCCAAGTCCCTTCATTTAGTAAACTAGTACTTCTTCAGGTAGTCTTTCCTCTTTGAAAAAATTAACTCATTGGAATTAAATTCATCTTTGACAGATTTTTAGTGCTGTTAGAATCTTATAATCAAAATCTCCCTCAGTTGTGAGATTTTTCGTTTGTGGATACAGCAACCCATTTTGGCCTGTCCACAATGACCATAAACTCATATTTATTAAACTGATGTGACTACACTCCTCCCAGCCTTATATTTTTCCTTCCGAGTCTTTTAAGCGCCTCTGAGTTCATTTGTAAATAAGAGTTACAATTAGGGACCTAAAGTAGATATGGCTTTGGTTTTTCAACCACTTGTGGAATCAAATTAAGCTTTTCAGATTCAGTAAAAATAAATAATAAATCGACACATCAAATAATCTGGCTCAAACATTACAGACCTGAATGAGATCTGATAAAAAAATGAAGATACCTGTGTCATTATGAGTCAGATTCAAGAAATTTAGTTACCTTACTGATTATTGTCTATGTAATTGTAGTCAGATATTCTTTGCAGGAGGATCTTGATGAACTGTTCAGGACAAGCATTTTTAGTTTTGTCTTCGGTCATTTGTGATTAGGATTGTTTCAGACAGTTTTATCTTGTGGCAGGGAAATTCTTTAAGTGAGTTCTCCTCCAAGGCAGAATATCTCTGTTTTCACAGGAAGTAACTTTTTTGCCACATGCCAATTGAACCGTGTTCAATAAATTGATTAGTACCGTGCTGCTACAGATACATGCACATCTATTGACCAGCTGTGACCATAAATTTATGTTCAAGCAATTGTTCCAATAAAAACGGAAGAAGAAGAAAAAAATTTAATTGTATATTTTTTTACTGGTTTTTTCTCCTTCTTCATCGCTCTGTTTTCAACTATACTGTGAATTCAGGCGAAGTAATACAAATCTATCCTGTTTGCTGCCACTACAGTTATAATTCCAAACCCACCTCATATACATATTATTCAAATGTTTAATCTTTTACTGTCATACATTTATTGAGCGTCCACTCGGTCAAATATTATCACTGTTTCCAACAAAATTGCCTTTCCTTCATGCTATATTTTAAAAAATTTTGCAACACATTCTGTCATCATGAAAAAATATATCTGCTTTTCACAATAGTTATGTTATACTACAAAGAGTTTGCAGTGGAAATATACAAGCTGTAATGTGTCCTCTGCTCGAAAATTTTCCTCCAGAAGAAAATTTTTAAGTGAAAAAAATAAAAAAATAAAAAAAACTCTGAAAAACCTGAATAACTGGCAATGAATGCAAAGCAATCTAATTGCAGATCTATTGAGAGATGCAAACTCTTTATTGATAAACAGGTATTAGAAAAGTTGAACTGGTTTTTTTTCAAGAAGTAGGGTTCTCAAAGGACGTTTCAAATTATAGGTGAGTTATGATAGTGTGTGGAGGAAGAAGGAGTGGGTACAAAAAATAGAAATTTCAAAGAAAAATACAGCTCTGATGTAAATTTTATTGTAACTAGACGTTTGAAGTGAGTCTATGTTCACATAGCTCAACTGTCAAATGGGAAATTATAGCTACGTTTTTGAACAAATCAAAATATTCTCTAGCATTTGTCTAACGCAATCTAACGACAGTAATAAAATTCCTCGGCACCTTTTCTGTAGATCATCTTGTCAAATGTGCGGACTGGAAGTTGTATGTTCTTGCATTCGAAGTGGATTTCAGGCGCACAATGAATCTGGTCGGTATGCAGTGGGATCTGTTTAAATATGGTTTAGTTTCTGGATCTGAAGAATGGAAGTTAATCTCCATATCGATGGACTTGGATATTGGTTTTAAATTCGGATTCCTCAAGGTTGATCACCTAGAAACTATTCTTTTTTAGAATCTTCCAATTCGGCGTCTCATCGCATGTTTTTAAAGGGGGGCTCTGACCCTTCCTCCCCTTATTAAGGGGCAGTAACCGTGGGGGACTTGTTGGGGGTCGTGTCAACGAGGTGTCCTCTGTTGGTGCTTTTAAAGGGCCAAATGTGGCCATTTAGGTGGTAAGGTTTTTTGAACTCCGCTCACTTGGAAGGAAGGGGGAAGGGTCCCGAAATTGACCATAGACGTACCTAGGTCTGGGTACCCATGCTTGGGAAGGAGGGGGGTTAGGGAGCACCTTCAGGAAATTTTTGAAATTTTTAAATCTACATATTTGGGCGCATTTTGAGGTTCCCGTGACTCAGATTTTCCATCAAATCTGCAGAATAACTACGTTTTTTTTTTTTTTACTTACAGCGAAGAATACTTTCGAATTGCTGCATTCAATTGAGCCCGAAATTTTTTGAAATTTTTAAGCTATTTGGACACATTTTGAGGCTTTCGACGTAAAAATTTCAGAAAATACTAATCAGATAAACACTGTGTTTGCATTTAAGATTCTGCATTAAGAATGATAATCAGCCTCGACGAAGGCTTTCTCCCCACCATCCAGAATTTCTGGGGGAGGGGGCCAGATGTCACTTTTTTCGATTTTAGGGGGGGGGCCTGTACCACGGGGCTTCATACGCCCATGAGAGGTTCCTACTTCCCCTTTTTTTAGTCCTATCATCAAAAAATAATTATACGACAGTCGAACGCCTTCAAAACAATCTATTGAAACCATGTGAGTGTGCTTGTTCAACAGTTATGTTGTTGAACGTTTTGAACGTGAGAAGCATCTCGAATCCTCTCAATTTGACAATACTTAAGTGTTATTTCTTCATTTCAATTTCGGGTTCTTCTCATCCTATGGGCGCACAAACAAACATGCTAACACAGTGAGCTGGGATTATCGTCAATTATATCAGTGGGGTAATTAACGACGGCGATGCCGTTTCGGAAGGAAAACTGTAGCGTAATATTTTCGTGACGCTCAAGAGATTCCCTCGAAACACGGGCGGCCGAAGAGGTACCAGTATCGTGTCATAAAATTATACCAGCGTGGGCACGGTAAGCGAGGCCGGAAAGAGTTCGGGGAAGAAATGGATCCTGCTGGAAAGAAAGCTGGAAACCCCAGGGAAAGCGACCAAAATTACTACAAAGTCAGGGTAGGGGACCAAAATTACTAAAAAGTTAGGGAAAAATTGCATCACGGAAATCGCGAATCTTAACGTGCAGTATCATATCATTTCAGCTTTTCTCTTCCCTGGTAAAAATTGGCAGTAGAATCTGTGTTCCAAAATACCATAGACCTACAGCCGGCTGTAAGATTTCCAATAGCTTCTATAGCCGGCAACACAATATAGCCTTTTATAGCCGATGGTGATTAAGCAATAGTCTGGCTATAAAGTGAGTGCTAAACGTAACTAATCACGGATACCAGGACTTAGTGAGTTTTTGGACCACCGCTCTCTTTTTAAGCCGTATTATCTTGATTTATTTTGCGAGGAAAACTCCGTACTTTTGAAGGATGCCTGCCATTCCTAATATTTTGGAGCGCCTTCAATTTCGTATGATACTGTGCAATACCTCTGGTGTGAAATAGTTGCTTCAAGCGCCGTGGTACGCTGCGGCGCGGCGCGGGCAGAGCAAAACGCGCACTGGCGCCTACAAACCTAACGGAGATACTTCACGCATTGCGTAATGCGTGAAGTATCCCTGTTAGGTTTGTAGGCGCCAGTGCGCCGCCGCTCCGCTTTGTGTTAGGCTCGAATATTTGATCTCGTGGAGTCAGCGTTTCTCAACTCATGACTTTGAAATGTTTGCACAATCTGTATGGATTATTCTCATTTTAATGGATGAAAAAAAATATGTAGTAAAGGAAAATATAATGTGCGTTTTGTAAATATTAAGGTGATTCGGTACAACTTTAAGGATTTACAAAGCACACGAATTTCTACACAATTTCTTATAGCCTTTTATAGCCGATGGTGAAAAGCAACAGCCAGGCGATAAAATGTAAAACCCGGCGATAGGAACTATAGCCCGGCTGTATAATTTTTATCACTTCGTGTAGCCCGGCCGTATGATTTTTTCCACTTTCTACAGTCAGCTATATGATTTTCTATCGCCTACCTCAGTCGGCTATAAAAACTCCTATGGTATTTTGAAACGCAGCTCCTATCGCCAATTTTTACCAGGGTTTTTCGAATCAAATAATTTTAAAATTATGAACTAGGATGCGTATTTGGAGGCCTTCTTTCAACAAAAAAAATAGAGCATGTTCCGATAGAGTTGCTGAAACGTTGCGGTTGAGACGTCTCCTAAAATGTTTTCCTTAACTAATGTTAAAAACAGGAAAAAAATCAAGAATAAAAACGCGTAGTCTTAGTTTGGCTTTGGCGGCGCTATTAACGCTGCGAGAAAGGGTAACGTGGTCGAGCCAATGTCGCAGTGTGACGCGCCTTCAATTCCAGCTAGCGGCAATATGGACATCACCCGTGTTCAAATAGTTGTTTCGTGACGCCTTTCGTAAATGACGTTAAATATATATGACAGTATGCAAATAGGAACGTACCTATTTGTTTGTTTGTAAATAATAATAATAATAATAAATTCGCAATACATAGAAATCTAGCGTGCTGAAAAGATGGCGAAATCCTGAACGGTAATCCGCGGAACCGACTTGAACTGTCCGAAAAGTTATATCAAAGGTAAAGGTAAGGGTAAGGTAAGGTTAATATTAAATTGAGTCATTTCTACGATTACTAAGGCATTAATTTCTAAGGCTAAGGTTCCCTCGCCGAATTCAGTATGGCATAGTCACCTGCAATTTATAAGAACTCGGGGTGTTTTGTGGATCCTTGTATAGTTTCGCGTTTGATTGTTTAATTTGATAAGTACGCATCAGACACGGAATATTGAGAAACGTCGATTCGCATTCTCTTGCGTAATAGATACAAAATGTAAATTGGATTACGTTTTGCAATAAGGAACCACTATTTCTGACTCATTTTAGAAACAACGTACACGCCATTTGTTTCTCTATGCAGATATGTGCTTTTATGGAAGAGCCAGAGATAGTGGTATTCCTTATTACAAAATTCAATCCAAATAGTCTACCCCCCTCCCCCCTCCTTTTATTCTTTTCTCCTTATAAATTACGATAAAGTTGCCTTGATAAAAAAAATTCTTGTGGTATTATTTTGACCGATAGCGACGTTTCTCGTCGTAAAAATTTGGACGGATTTCACTCAAGAGTCAGTTTTTTTGAGTTGAAGAAACGTTGTTTTGTTATCCTTTGGTCAACTTAAACTGAACGATGGCAAAACAACGTTTCTTTGACTAAAGAAAAAACCAAACTTTGTCGGCAAGAAAATTTCTTTCAGTGTATGCAACTCCCAAATTTGTACTCCTCTAAATTTTGGAGTCTCGATGTCGAAAAAAATAAAATTCCATAAAAAAAAAAAAATTTAAAACGTCGCAATACCATTACATGATTTCGCACTCAAGCGATTGACACGAGACGTGACGCTTGCGTCGCCTCTGGACCACACGCCACAGATTAATGACCGATGATAGGAAAATCGCGGCGAGCTATCTTGTAGTGAGACTTGTGCAAATTGGTTTTAATTGTTGCGCTCCATTGCCGAGTGTCTTCCTAATCGAACCCCCAATTTTTTTAAAAGAGCTTAAGTGCCAAACACCCATAAGCAGTAAAAGTGAGTCGAATGGACGTAATTAAGGCTCCAGAGTTATTCGTCTGTAGGGTTTTTCTCCCAAAATGAGCGGTGCGATTGAGTCTCCCATTCGCAGCCTGGATATTTACGTAATTCAATCCATTGCGCGAAGGGCATGCCCCTGTTTATCACTGTCTCTGGATTTTCCAATTTTCCTTGGATTAAAAGTTACTTCTATACTCAGAAATTAATGCATGGATAAAGGGC